ATGCTGTTTTGGTTACTGTAGCCTTGTAGTATAGTTTGAAGTCAGGTAGCGTGATGCCTCCAGCTTTGTTCGTTTGACTTAGGATTGTCTTGGAGATGCGGGCTCTTTTTTGGTTCCATATGAACTTTAAAGCAGTTTTTTCCAATTCTGTGAAGAAGCTCATTGGTAGCTTGATGGGGATGGCATTGAATCTATAAATTACCTTGGGCAGTATGGCCGCGGTGGCTCACGCCTGTAATCCCAGCTCTCAGGGAGGCAGAGGCGGGAGGATAGCTTGAGCCCAGGAGTTCGAGACTTTATTTTTTGAGCAGTTTTAGCTTTGTGGAAAGATCGAGCAGAAAGTACAGAGTTCTCACCTTTATCCCACCCCCAGTTTACATTAGGGTTCACTCTTTGTGTGGTACAGGTCTATGAGTTTTGCAAAATGCATAATGTCAAGTACCCATCATTACATTATTACCAAAGTATTTTCAATCCCCTAAAAATCACCTATTTCAGAACTATTTATCTCCCTACTCATCCCCAAACCCCTGGCAACCACTGATCTTTTGTTGTTGTTGTTGTTACTTAGTTTTTATTTCATAATCATAAACTTAGGTCTGCAATCCAGCTAGGCATGGAAGGGAACAAGGAAAACGTGGAATCCGAAGGGAACTGCAGCGAGAGCACAAAAATTCTAGGATACTGCACGCAAATGTGGTGGAGGGGTGCTCTCCTGAGCTACAGAAGGAACGATCTGGTGGTTAAAATAAAACACAGGTCAAACTCATTAGAATCATCCACAGTCAGCAATGGTGATCTTCTTGCTGGTCTTGCCATTCCTGGACCCAAAGTGCTCCATGGCTTCCACAATGTTCATGCCTCTTTTGACCTTGCCAAAGGCCACATGCTTGCATCCAACCACTCAGTCTTGGCAGTGCAGATGAAAAACTGGGAACCATCTGTGTTGGGTCCAGCATTTGCCATGTACAAGATGGCAGAACCTGTATGCTTTAGGATGAGGTTCTCATCATCAAATTTCTCCCCACAGATGGACTTGCCACCAGTGCCATTATGGCATGTGAAGTCACCACCCTGACACATAAACCCTGGAATAATTCTATGAAAGCAGGAACCCTTATGACCAAATCTTTTCTCTCCAGTGCTCAGAGCACGAAAGTTTTCTGCTGTCTTTGGAATCTTGTCTGCAAACAGCTTGAAGGAGACGCGGCCCAAGGGCTTGCCATCGATGGTGATGTCGAATAACACGATGGGGTTGACCATGGCTGATAGTACAGGACTCCCAGTGGCTGCGGCGTCTGCAAAGATAACCACTGATCTTTTTACTGTCTTTATAGTTTTACCTTTTCCAGAATGTCATATAGTTGAAATCACAGTATGTACCCTTTTCAGACTGGCTTCTTTCACTTAGCAAAATGTATTTGTCTTTTCTGTGTCTTTTTGTGGCTTGACGGTTTTTTCCCTCTTATCACCAAATAATATTTCACTGTATGAATATACCAGTTTTAAGGTCAAAATTTACTACCCATGCAACAGTGTAGCCGCATTTTAAATTTTAAATTTTAAATTTTTGACTGTTCGTCTACAGGTCTCAAGTATACTTAAAGGCCAGATAGAAGTCTCTCATCCTCTAACGAAGGATGGATCGTAAAATGGAATACTGCTAAGAATCTCCCCTTGGGTATTAATTCTGCAAAAACCCAGAATCTCAGAGACAAGAGACAAGTATTTGGAGTGGATCATTAGATGTAATGAAAAAAGAAGTCACTTCAACATTCATAACAAAGATCAAAGATTGTTGTATTTTTTATATGGGAGACACCAGACAAGCTTATACTTAGTTACTAGCTCAGAAGATACACCACCACATCCTCTAGCATGAGTACAACCTTTTAAGCCGTTGTTTCCAACTGGCACTGTGATTGAGTCTTTAATAAAATATTCGCCATTCTATAATAATAATTTTGGTCAGTGATAGGATAAATGGTGGACCGGGTAAATCCAATAAATACTACTCATTTGTTATACAACAAACTCTTTGAATACAAGCAATGTAGAACAGGATATTATGGCAGTATGTACAAAGCACTCAATGTACCAATGGAGAGTGGTGATCAGAGAAACATGATGTCAGGTAAAGCAAATGTAATTCAAGGATAAATGTAGATTCCACTTACAAAATTCCGTGTTGCCTTTGTCATAGAGGAGCGCCAGTAAAATCAATGAGTCTGACAAAAAGGTGACTGTTATTCACCCAGGATATGTTATTGTGTGCTTAGCCTTGGTCCTTGTTGCTTGTATGTTGGACACCCAATAGTCTTGACAGCTAAATGGGCTTTGGTAAGGGACAGTGATAAAGTTCAACATGTTGCTAAACCTATATGTATTCTCTACTACTAGCACCAATGTTGCTGTTTATTAGCCTTCTGAGCAAGCAATGTAGTGCCTGGTTAAAGAGTTTGTTTCATACCCTCATATCTATTTGATAACCTTCCTGATGATAGTTTGGTGAGCATTCATATTAAGCACAAATATTCTTACACTTTGGCTCATTTTCTGTGGTTCATCTACATATTTTTTCCCCAAAACTCATTGTCACCAGTCCTACAATCTGTCCTTCCAAGTCCCTAATAATCTTTTTTTTTTAAGGGAGTTTTGCTCTGTTGCCCAGGCTGGAGTGCAGTGGCACAATTTTGGCTCACTGTAACTTCTGCCTCCCGGATTCAAGAGATTCTCCTGCTTCAGCCTCCCAAGTAGCTGGGACTACTGGTGCACACCACCACACCTGGCTAATTTTCATATTTTTGGTAGAGATGGAATTTCACCATGTTAGCCAGGCTGGTTTTGAACTCCTGACTTCAGGCGATCCACCTGTCTTGTCCTCCCAAAGTTCTGGGATTACAGGTGTGAGCCACCAGGCCTAGCCCCGAGTCCCCTAATTATCTAGACAACTTATTAGCTGCCACATATAAATCAATAACATTTCTTCTAGACATCATGGACAACCAATTACATAGGCTGAATTTCTTTTAAAATTGCATTCAAGTAGGTTATAATGCATAAGCAATCTACTTTTGGTTGTTACTGTGATGTTGTACAGTAACTTCTGTAAATCAGGCTGAATTTTTCCCTCACTAATCAACTGGCCATAGAGAACTTCCCATGAAGACATTGGTGTAGATTCTATTATTCCTTCCTGCTGATGAAGCAGGATAGTTAATTGGAAAACACTTATTTCATGATAAGCAGCTCAGTCGTCATTTTTTTTTTTTTTTTTTTTTTTTTTGCATTGATAGGACTTCAGTTTCTACAATGGTCCAGGATCAATCAAGAGTTGTTTAAAGAAAACATTTATTTTGTAAAAGAAAGAAGCATTTTGTTCCAAATCCTAAGAACCATAGTAGTGGTGTGTCAGGTCCTATTGCATCTGGATATAAAAACAAAGGGGCACAATATTCCTGACCAGTTGGAAATTATCATCTTGATCTCAATCCCATCAAAAGGTGGCAGCATGACAAGTCATAAAGCAAAAGGACCAGGTGATAAAATGAGGTCTCCAAAATCCAAAGCATCAAAGTTCTTGATTAGTGGTCAGGGCTTCAAAGTGCCATAATTTTTCACTTTGGAAGGCATATGTTGACCCTTGAAGGGAGGTGAGTCCCAGACATTAGCAAAAATAATGTATTTTATTTATATTTCTAACAAAGTATGTTAGAAGATTACCTGGCAAGCAAGGGCAACCATAAGATTTTAAATCAAAGAGAATATCAATAGAAATGGTCATAATAAAAATTAACATAATGTAACTCTAATGCAAGAAAACAAATTACTCAGCATGAAGCTAATAATGAGAGAACTATTGGAAAATTCATATTGACAAGTCCATACATTATGATGCATAATTAATCATGTTAGATTATCCTAGTTAAGATGTGCTTGGTTGAAAGAAATAGAAAACCTTACTAACATAGTGACATAACATAGTGATATTTGATTTTCACACAACAAGAAGTCTTAAGACAGTTAGTCCCAAGAGTTTGCTTGGTATCTCGGTAGGGTCTTGAAAACCTAGTTTCTTTTCATTCTTTTTTTTTTTTTTTTTTAAAAATCCTACACATTTTTGAGTTTATTCTAGAAAAATAAAAATGTATAAAGATCTAGTTAGACTACTGTGGTCAGTAAGAATAGGCTAAATAATTTATAGTAAATCCATTTGATATTATGTATACATTAATGTTGAAATATTTGACACAGAAAGATATTCACCATTTAAATTCAAAAAGCAACTTAAGTGGAGGGTAAAAACAGTATAATCAGGATAAGCAAGTAAAATAAAATGTGTACTGAGAGTAGACTGAGAAAGTCAACGAAGATATACAGCAAAGCATGATCAACCTTCTCCTTTTTGCTTACCTATAATTCTACAATGTGTGTATATTACCTGTTTGCTTTTAATAGTTCTTTGACTTAATTTATAGAGTTCTATGCTCTTATTATCAGTTCCTTGATTTTACCTGAGTCCTAGAGTTCTTAGCTGTTTTTAGTATCCTTTACTTTAAAGCTCTGTCTCCACTAATTTCCTGGTAATTCAGTAATAATTACATTAAGGTAATAACCCTCTGAACCAATTTTATAAGCAAATAGATAAAATTTATATCTTTAGGGTAATTCCAATAGATAATTCCTGCATTTCTACAATGTGCATATATTACCTGTATATTGTTTGTTTTCAATAGTTCATGGAATTTGAAATCAGTAGAAAAATCCTCATTACAAAACAACAGCATTTTAATTGAATTTTCTAAGTGATCATTTCCAGTTGTTTAAATGCACCTGTTCAAATCAAAGTTCATCATTTTGTTTGGAACAACTTTTGTTTGAGAATCAAATGGTCATGTAATTGAGAAAGCAAATAAGCATATAATGTCAGAAAAGTAAGTGGCAAAATAATCACAATCTTTGTTCCACAGGCTACTGCAGTACAATAAATAAAATGATAGTTAACCAAAAACACCTTTATTTTCGTCTTCAAAGAAGAAGTTCTTTTCTTCTTTTTCTAGGATAATCATAATTAACTTACAAAAATGAGTACACATCTTCAAAGCACTTCCCTTTAACGGGAAACTTAGCTTTCTGGGATTTAAACATTAGAAGGTGGGGAAAAAAATTCCATTTTCTTGTCGTTAAAAGACAAAACAGAATCTAGCGTAAGTCAAGGAACTCATTCACACTTCAGGTCCTTCTCCTCCAGGAACCAGCATTGTTATATTATTTCCATTTAGCAAAATCTGATCTAATTTAGTAATCCTTCCTTCTGGTGTGATTTCAAACTCAGTGACATCTTGCAGTACCATATTGACAAAGTCATCAAATCCTAGAAGAGTACCAACAATTTCTTTATCACTCTTCATCACAATGTGAATTCTTGATCCTATACATTTATCCACAAACTCTAAGGTAGCAGCTGTGACGGGTTGGTAGTAGCGTCAGCTGCCATGGCTACGCCGGAAGTGCTTTTTTCATTCTTAAACTCTGCCTTCCTCAAGGTGCTCAATTTCATCATGAGGCCCAGTTATTTGTAAATAGCTGCTACAGCTCTAGATAAGCCCACATTTATTTAAAATTTTCCAAAGTAGAAAGGTAGAGAAAGGACAAAAAATCCTTCTCTGATATAGCCTTCTTTTTTCTTAGGGGTAAAATCTTTCCCATAAGTTCTCAACATATTTTCTCTTATATCTCAGAGGTCAAATTTAGATCATAGATCTGCCTCTAAAACAATCGCAAGCAAAGGGGAAATAATATTTCATGATAAGCTCAGACCCCTTCATGATTCATCAGTTAAGACTCAGGTTCTAGACATTAACAGCGATCTGTTATCAAGGAGGAGTGGGAAATAGCCATTGGATAGGCAGCAAGAGATTTTGCCTCAATCATATTTTTTTGTGAATACCATTTTACTGATAATTAAGAGTAGGAAGGGTTCATTCTGTTCCCTAGCTCTGTAACCTATTTAATGATTTTCATGATATAATCTGAAATAATCTCACTAGGATCTTTTCTAAAAAATTAAACTGATTGATGACAAATTAGTTTTTGTTTGTTTGCTTTTTGTTTTGTTTTTTCAAAACGAGGTCTCACTCTGTCACCTGCCAGCATGCCGGTCTACTTTTTGTATTGTTTTTAGTGGACATGGGGTTTCACCATGTTAGCCAGGCTGGTCTCAATCTCCTGACCTCAAGTGATCTGCCCACCTCGGCCTCCCAAAGTGCTGGGATTACAGGCATGAACCAACACATGCCACCAATGAGATAGTTTTTAATAGAGCTACTATGAGCTATTCTATTAATTGCTCTCAAATCTTGCAGAGATAGGCAAAAGATAAGCTTGAACTGGTCAGGAAATTGAGTATATGAGACAAGTTATAATGTCATGTGGCCAGGCGTGGTGGCTCATGTCTGTGATCCCAGCACTTAGGGAAACTGAGGTGGGCAGATCATGAGGTCAGGAGTTCAAGACCAGCCTGGCCAATATGGTGAAACCTCGTTTCTACTAAAAATACAAAAATTAGTGGGGCATGGTGGCGCCCACCTGTAGTCCCAGCTACTTGGGAGCCTGAGGCAGCAGAATTGCTTGAACCCTGAAGGCGGAGGTTGCAGTAAGCTGAGATGGTGCCACTGCATCCTGCCTGGGCGACACAACAAGACTCTGTCTCTTACCAAAAAAAAAAAAAAAAAAAAAAAAAAATTTTTTTTAAAGGTCATGGTAAACACCTTTGTTAGCCTCTGATCTTATAACAATTATCACACACACACAAACCAAACACCACACATAGAGGAAACAGTAAAAGATTAAAGGACACAGCTAAAAATACATTCGTATTATTACTTCCCAAAGTTCTAAAATTATGAGAAGGGACTATTGAATCTTTAAAAAATATTGATTATCCAACACTTTGTAATAACCAGTGTAATTTCATTGAAGGCTACTGAACATGGACATATTCCTATAATTTTTCTGTTATGGTGTCTGATTTGTGAAAGGAACAAAATTAAACACAGTTCCTTGGCATTTTTTCCCTCTTTCACTCTACTCATTGGTATATGTGCCATATATGTTTATTGTAAAATAGGAATAAGATTCAGAGGTCAAGAATCAAAGTGAGTCAGAGTAGGAAAAGCCACACTTAAGTGGAACAGAAGGGCAGAGGCTGTCAAATCCCAAAATTAAAGGATAAATTCAAACACAAGTAGAAATGGTTCAAAAGCTAAGGGGATCCTCATAGTTCATGAAAAGCAAGTATTCACACAGGTAGTAGACTCTAATCTGCTGCAAGCCAATGTGCTATTCTCTTCGTGTTATTTATATCCCTCAGAACACCTCAAAGTTCCCAAGAGCAGCTAGTATTTAACTCTAAACTATATCATATATATGATATATTTATTATATATGATATATATTTATTATTATTATTATTATTTTGAGACAGAGTTTTGCTCTTGTTGCCCAGGCTAGAGTACAATGGTTCTATCTCGGCTCACCACAACCTCTGCCTCCTGGGTTCAAGTGATTCTCCTGCCTCAGCCTCCTGAGTAGCTGGGATTACAAGCATGTGCTACCATGCCGGTTAATTTTGTATTTTTAATAGAGATGGGGTTTCTCCATGTTGGTCAGGCTGGTCTTGAACTCCTGTTCTCAGGTGATCCGCCTGCCTTGGCCTCCCAAAGTGCTGGGATTATAGGTGTGAGCCAATGTGTCCAGCCAACTATATCATATTTCAATTGTGTAGTGATAACCCTCATCAAAAGAAGTATTCATTAAGGTCAGTGTACTCTGCTTATTTACCACTGAAGCTTAACACAAAATTGTGGAAATAAACATGCATATTGAAGTACTCAGCTAGCTATTGAGGCAATACAGGTTTCTAGATTTACTCATTTTTTGAACTGTACACACATGTTCATGTGTGTCATGATAAACCCATGTGTGTGCATATCTTTATTAAATATTATATTTCTTTTTTACTTTTGCTTTATTATTGAGAAAGGGTCTCACTCTGTTGCCCAGGCTGGAGTGCAGTGGCACGATCTCAGCTGACTTCAGCCTTGTTCTCCCAAAGCCCTAGACCCTGTAACATAACAGAATATGTATGTTTCTACTTTGTGCAATATTGAAGCAGGAATACTAGATAGAACTGTTATCTTTTCCTATTGCATTTATTTTGGTGTGGAAAAATATAATAATTGGCTTCAGTCACTAAGTCTATTTCATTCAAGAATATTTAAATATAATCCAAAACATCTTAAGTACATTTTGTGACACAAAAGGATCGTGTCTTCTATTTGGAAATATAAAATCCCAGGGTCCCACAGTTTAAGTATACTTTCCAGGGGTATGTATAAAACAAGAATCCCACTTCACAAAGTTAATAGAAAAAATTTATACTAATTGGAAGGAGAGGCTACTGATGGAGGATAAAGTGGAAATTTTCACATAGTGCTAATTACATTTTAATGAAGTAAGACAAAAATTGGAAATAATATCCTATAAAACTTCTGAAATGAAATTACAGTTTGTCTCTGTCTCTCTCTCTTTTTTTATTTCTTGAGATAGAGTTTCACTCTTGTTGCCCAGGCTGGAGTGCAATGGCACTATCTCAGCACAATGCAACTTTTGCCTCTCGGGTTTAAGCGATTCTTTTGCCTCCGCCTCCCGAGTAGCTGGGATTACAGGCATGCACCACCATGCCCAGCTATTTTTTTGTGTGTTTTTAGGGACCCACCATACCTGGCTGTCTCCTTTTTTCAGAATTAGGAGAATGGATTTTTTCAACGCTAAACTGACTTTGTACTATGTTTTCAAGAGAGCAATATGGTGAAATGAAGGAGGCAGGATAGCATCTTTTGTTAGCTGGCATCTAGTTCTTTAAGTTCCATGAGTCTATTGTGTCCTCTCTACATCTCAAAAAGAAGAGAGAAGAAACCTGTATCTAATTAATGAAGCAGTTTCATTCAGCAAATGTAATTGTACCGCAGGCACATCTCAAATGAAAAATCTTGATCTTGGCTGTCATCTTCATTTTAAACTAGGACTGAATAACCTGTTTTGCCTCTCAAAATAATAGCCAGTGTCTCTTTCTCATTGAAAAATGTGATCTTTTGCTTGATTACCTAATTATGTCACCTGCACCTTACGTGAGGCAGATAGAAGAGTCTTCCAGTCTGCCTGAGCAGATCTACCAAAGTAGACTGCGCGTACAAATTACCTGGGGATCCTGATAAACTGCAGATTCTGAGTCTGCTTTTGAACAAACCCTCAAGTCAAGCTGATGGTATTGGTCCCAGAATCCCTAATTGTGTAGCAAAGTATTAGAATCAAAAAGTGGGCAAGTATAAGGCTGGGCACGGTGGCTCACGCCTGTAATCCCAGCACTTTGGGAGGCCAAGGCGGGTGGATCACCTGAGGTCAGGAATTTGAGACCAGCCTGGCCAACATGGTGAAACCCTGCCTCTACTAAAAATACAAAAAATTAGCCAGGTGTGGTGGCATGCACCTGTAATCCCAGCTACTCAGAAGGCTGAAGCAGAAGAATTGCTTGAACCTGGGAGGCAGATGTTGCAGTGAGTCAAGATCAAGCCACTCTACTCCAGCCTGGGTTCCAGCATGGGCAACAAGAGCGAAACTCCATTTAAAAAAAAAAAAAAGGGGCAAGTATAAACACAGAAATATGGACAATTGTAAGCAATATTAGAGAACTGCAGAAAACAATTTTTTAAGTGGTGTGTTTAACCTATTTAGAATAAAACCCATTAGGGTCCTAGGAATTTCTGGAACTGCTTTACTTGTGAGAAACATGATCCTAAGATGCCCATTTGTTTATCAGTACATCAATTTTCTCCTTCTTAAATTGGTATAATTATTTTCTTCCACAAAGCCTAGCACATTTTTGTTGTTGTCATTGAAAGAGGGCATATAAGGGTTATGGCTGCTATTTGGAGAAATGCATTAGAAAATAAAAAACTTGAAAAAGTCATATATTACTGAGAAAAAAGTTGAATGAAAATAAGAAAGATTAAATTGAAATAAATAATGAGTCAGTAAGGTATGCACTGTTAAACACTTGATGAGATTTCCCGAGTACTGACATGCTGATAACTTGAAATAACAATGGGAGAAAAGGTCAATCTGAATTCTTAAAATGTTGAAGGCTGGGAATAAGAAGTAATATATCATAGAATCTGATACTAAAATTTTTATTTATTTTATGGGAGAAAAAGGGAGACTAACAGACAATAGGAATAGGAAAGAATTAATAGAAATAGCAAAAAGAAGTGTATCTGCAATTATTAATATAATACAAGAGGAAATTGTGTAGAGCTATTTAAAGAAAGATTGATAAAATTTAGATTTATGGAGAAATATCCTAATAAAGACATTATTTGTAATCAACTGTTCATAATTATTATATAATTCTGACAGTTTTTAGGATATAAACATAAG